TACATACGCTAATAACATATACGTTTAAACGGACCTGTAAAACGGATGTTCTATGTGTACGCGCCGTAATAGTACCCAGTTTATTTTTCTTTGAGGATTATTTAAAAAAAAGTGTAAAGCAGCTGTGCTTTAAAAACGTTTCATTAGCTATCTAACAAGGTATATTAGTCTAGGGTTGTGTTACAATTCCAAGAAAAAAAGTAGATGCGACCCCTGGCGAATGGCGAAAAGAAATTTTTGACCCCAAATTATGATTAAGGACTCCTAAAGACCCTCGCATGCCAATTTTCAGCTGGATCGAAGCAAGTTTTTCTTCGGCCGCCATTTTGAAATCGCCATCTTGAATTTTTTTAAACCCAGGCAGTTGACCAATGTTATCTTCTATGACATTCCTTCAAGCACCTCCTACCTATATCTAAGTTTCCGTGATAGGAGGCTTTGAAATTTGTATGGAGGCCATCTTGTTTATTTGAATTTCGAACATTTTTTACTTCCTGCGGAAATTGACCAGAGTGTATCTCATAAAAATGCACAAAAATCCCCCCCCATGTATTAAAGTTTTTGCAGGCCGTTGATCACTTGTTTACATTTTCCACATTCAGGTCTTCTCATATCTAATTCTTTGCCTTGGAGCCTATTTGTGTACAATGGTATATCTTTTTTCTACCATATCAGGAAGTATGCGTTCTATTTTTCTAAGTGAGTCAGGATTTGGAGCTTTATATATATATAATGTGGTTGGTAAGTCAGTTAAACAATGTGAAATAAAACAAGTTGTTTGAAAACTGTAATATGGTTAGGCTCTATTTGTAGTCAAGCTTTTCATTCGTACTTACTAGAGTAGGTCAACTAAATATAACATAATCAGTGCCTTCAATGAGATTCAAAGATTTGAGATTGTGTTCAAACTCTCCATTTGTAAGATCTAATTTAACACATATTAATAAAGGTGGTTTCGCATCACTGAAGTGTATCACAGGTAACTTTGCAATTACTTTTCTTTTAGTTGGAGAGTAAAATTCTATTACTCTTCCAATTTTGTTAGCATCAACATCACAAAACATTTGTACTTTTTTCAAATTTTCTGGGTTCAAGGATCGTACCAATTTTCTTCCAGCTTTTCCAGCATTCCATATTGTAAAATGTTCCCAGTTAGACAAAACATGTTTTTCCAATCTATTCAATTGGATTTTCCAGATACATTCTCTTTTTACAGACAATGTAGCAGCACTTTCATGGTAAGTATAAATAACTAGGGTCTCATCTACTCTATGTAGATCCCCACCAGCATCTATATGGGCATTGAAGAATATCAAATCTTCAGGTGTTCCAATACCAGTTTCAACAAATCCACCAACTCTATCATAAACAGATCTATGACAAAACCAAGTGGGCATCAGTAATGTAGGACCATTTGAAGTGTATATTTGTAATTTTAATTGTGGCTTTGTAAGGTTGTTTGCCCATCGAACCAGACGAGGTGTAGAGTTCAGGGGTTGGCGAGATATTTTGCTTCCTGTAAGAGCCTTATGATTGCATTTCGTGGCTTCGTATTGCAGCAAAATTCTATTTGGTAGCATAACATCATCAATGTCTTGAAAGCATAGAAATTCTCCAGAACAACGCTCGACCGCAGCATTTTTAGCTGATCCTACGCCTTTGGATACTACTGATTTTGAAATAACAAAAGGCACATTACGACTAGAGAAATATTTACACCAATTTTCCAGTAATTCTTGGGAATTATCCGAACTCCCATCATCGTGCACAACTATTTCAATTTTCGTTTCAGTTTTATGAATAGTTTGCGTGGCTATCGATTTCATACAGTTGTCTATCCATTTTTCACCATTATAAACAGGAATTATTATGGAAATGTCGAACATTCTGACATTTTTCTTGTTAAAAATACATGATGTGTACTGCACTCTACGTCCAAATCCAAAATTCAGTACATAATTTTTATCTTTGTCCCATTGTATACTATCTATGGTCCCATTGAACTGTTTTTTTTTTTTTCATTTTTTTTATTAATAATTTTGGCTTGGATACAAGTACTTTGAGCCATGCCTTCGTTTAATTATGTTTCTGTAAATATGGCCGCCACAAAGAGGATAGGCAATTTGAGGCGGCGCGGCGTGCTTAGATTGACTCGGGATTCCTTAGAACGAGCCGATATGGGTATTTTAGTTCGAGATTCGTATAATTTCGCGTTTTAATCTTCGATTAAGGCACAATAGCACTATCCTATTCCACTTTAAACTAGATTTCACAAAATAATTGAAAGTCAAAATAATGTTGTAATTTTAAGCTGATAGCCTCGTAGCCAATGCTCAATATATTAAAAAAAGTCTGCTTGCTGCCGGACATAAGGGAAATGAGAAAGTTCATATTCCCAATGTCCGGCAGAAAAGCCCCCAAATGAGTTATTTTACGAGTCCATTCCTCACAAAATCCCCAATAAAATTTGGTAGCCTAAAATCGTCTTTTCCTATTTCGAACATAGCCTAAATATTGCCGACCACTTTTTTAATCGCCGCGCGATCCCTCAAAGCAGTGTTGGGCGTTAATCAATTAAATTTCAATCAATAATTCAATCAGATTAAAAAATCAATTCAATTGAAATCAATTGCAATTAAATCAATTGCGACGCGCCGCAATTGATTTAATTGCAATTGATTTTAATTGCAATTGATTTTAGTTGCAATTGATTTCAATTGAATTGATTTTAATTGCAATTAAATTTGCAATTAAAATCAATTCCGGCCGGTTGGGGGTCCGGTTGAGGGCTCCAGGGCCCCGGTTGGGGGCCCTAGTTGGGCGCCCTAGTTAGGGGCCCCAGTTGGGGGCCCCGGTTGGTGGCCTCAGTTGGGGGCCCCAGATGGGGGCCCCGGTTGGGGGCCCTGGTTGGAGGCCCTAGTCGGGGCCCCAGTTGGGGGCCGTAGTGGGGGCCCCGGTTTGGGGCCACAGTTGGGGGCCCCAGTTGGGGCCAAAGTTGGGGGCCCCGGTTGGTGGGGCCAAAGTTGGGGGCCCCGGTCGGTGGGCCCAGTTGGAGGCCACAGTTGGGGCCACAGGTGGGGGCCCCGGTTGGGGCCATCAACCGGGGCCCTGGGGCCCTCCAACTGGGGCCCCCAACTGGGGCCCCAAACGAGCCCACAAGAGGGGCCCCCATAACCAACGCGCTAACTCACCCCCATATGCCCTATAAACTTATCATAATTGTCAGTTTTAATTGTTAATTGTTAATCAAAAACATTGAAAAGATTGAAAATTGATTAATTGTTAATTGTAGATATTTGCGATTAACGATTGATCAATTGTTAGTTGCGAGAACCGCAATTAACAATTAATCAATTGTTAATTAGTTAATTGCTGTTTCGCAATTGACAATTAATTAATTGTCAATCTTTAATTGCCAGAACAATTAAATTTTGCCCAACACTGCCTCAAAGTAGCCTAAGTAGCGAAGAATCGCCTAATCTGGCAATCGGCAACTATACTGCCCCCGGAACACGAAAAAAGGCACAACTGCTGTTTATACATAAAAACTACGCATAGTTGTGCCCACATACATATTATATCTAGATAGTAGAGGTGAGCGTTTAAACGAAAAGCATTTTAAAAAGTTTGTTTTTGTTTTAAAATAAGCGCATAAGCACGCTTTTCATTTTAAGCGTAAGCGTTGGTCACTGGTCAGTTCTATACTCAACAATTTCATTTTTTACAACGTGTCTAAGTTTCAAGTAACGCCATCTTTTTAGGGTTTTTTTTTATTTGTTACAAATTAATTCAACATAACGTTGCAAGCTTTTTTAAATATTTAAAAGTCTATGCGCTTAAACGTTTGTCTAAACGACTTTTTAAACTTCAAAATAAAAAGCGATTAATATCCGACAGTGAACTAAGGTCGTCGACATAACTGGTCGAAAGAAAAGCCAAGAGGAGGATTCAGCTTGGCAGGTCAGTATTTAGTATACTACGTCGAGTCTTCTCGTCACCCGTACCGCAAAGTTTGAAAACATAGGTTTTTAATCAGTACGTTCTACCTATTATGACATACGGAGCCGAGACGTGGACACTCACGATACGGTTAGTTCACCAGTTGAAAGTTGCGCAGCGAGCTATGGATCGAGCTATGTTCGGAGTTTCTTTGAAGAACAAGGTACTGAACGAGGTTATCCGACAAAGAACTAAGGTCGTCGACATAGCTGGTAGATTAAGCAAGCTGAAGTGGCAGTGGGGGGCCATATCTGTCGAAGAACCGATAACCGCTGGGGGAAGCGGATTCTTGAGTGGAGACCACGGCTCGGAAAACGAAGGGTCGTATTCCAGAACTCTACTCAATACTCAAGTCAGGACTTGCGGAGTGAGCGCTGAAAATCATACTCATGTCCTAGTCATTAGGGTCGTATTTCCAGTCCTTGAAATCATACTCAAGTCCTGATTTGAGGATTGAGTAGAGTTCTAGAATACGACCAGGACGCGTTCATATTAGCCGCTGTTAACCGCGCGGCGGCGGCGGCGGCGCGACTGTCCCTTTTCATACAATTCTACACGCGCTGCAGCAGCGTGATAGTCGCGCGGACGCCGTTTTCCTATCTCTACTAGATAGACGCCGCAAGTGTACGTACTTCGCGTGCCCAAAGTAAGTGAAATTCACTGAACACAGACTTTATATCTAGATAGACGCCGCAAGTACAGCAATTTGTATGAAAACCAAGCGTGCCACATTTTTTGTACCCACTATGACGTCATAAGCACTCTTTAGTGATGGAAACCTCATTCCGCTCGCTCCAAATCGATCCATTGAACGGAATATGCGACACGCGTATTCCGTTCAATCGATTGTATATAGTTTATTTTACTTGTTTTAAAAAAAAATGATTACTTAAAAAAATTAAGACTTTAATTTTTCATCGACTTCAAGTATTAAAATAAAATGAGCTTATTATATAACGTCTTTTTGTACTTTTATTCTTATCGATTAACTTAAATGATGAAAACGCAACTGCCTTAATTAATTTTACTAGATAGTTTTCAGCTGGTAATTTATCAAAATGATGAATGGCAAAACAAATGAAAATGTTACTGCTGACAAAATATGGTAAAATCTTATTAATCAGAAGAGGTTTACTTAATGAAGGCCTCATGTGAAATTTTTGTGATTTGCTTATTATTTCTCGGATTTCTAACTATGCTACTCTGCATACTTGGATAGCATCTTAGGTGGGATAAACTAGACCACCTTCGTCCTCAAAAGCAACGAACTCATACGTATGACAAACACCAGATTTTTATAAAAACAGCGCACTGTTAATTCTTTGCATTATATATATTTTTTTTTATTACTCGTACTACATATCCGGCGATGCATGTAATTATTTGCTCACTATATTCGGACATTCGATGCAACGTGCTGCAAAAATTATCGAAATTACAGATACTACTGATAACAGGTACAACAAAACTGAAAAAAGAACGAAACGTTACTAAAGTTTGTAACAAAAGAGTTATAGATTATTTTTATGACATTGCTATGGTCATAATAATTACCGTCCCTTTGTTTTCAAAATCGATCAGAATAGAGAACTGTGTTGCCTAACGTATACATCACTAAATGTTAAATTTGGCCAAAGTAATGTACAAGCGGGCGTACCACAAAACTGAATGCATTATACAAAAGTGCGTTCGTTCGATATTCATAGCGTATTAACAAAGGATCACAAATATATCGCACCAAGTAAAAGCTGCAATGTATTACAAACGGAGGTATACACTCGGTTGCATATTTGTTTTCTCGAAATTCATACGAAACCAAAATAATTGTTTTTAAAATAAATTATGCATTTTCTGATTACAAAATCACTTGCCCGCGGAAGGAAACGTACCTGTTTACCCGTTAACCCACAGTTATGGTACTTTTGCAGTGTATAATGGCACAATTACGCATTTTTCGCATTTTCTACTGGTGTTTATCTACGATAATGGTCGAGCATGTTCTGAAGTGTAGCAGTGGCAAGGAGAGATGGAAAAACTGCTTATTTTTTAAACGTTTAAAGGATTTGCTTTTTTTTAAAAAAAAGCGTGCTTTTTTAAATGCTTTTTCACTTAAACGCTTGTTAGTTTGAAGCTAACAAAATCGTTTAGAAAACATTTAATTGCATAGACTTTTATCTGAAAAAAGCTTGCAACGTTGTTATGTTGATAGCGAAACGCAAGAGTAGACCACTAAAGGTTTTGAGATAAATAAGTTTTTTGTAAAAAAACGAGTTATATTTTTAACATAACATTACTATATTAACATTTGTTCATTGGCGTTTAAAAGCGTTTAAAAACATAAGTTGTTTAACTTTTGTAGTTATTAACCGTTGAAATGGAAAAACTGCTTATTTTTTGACGTTAAAAGGTACGTTAATAAGTCGTTTAGAAAAACGTTTAAGCGCATAGACTTTACGTTTAAAAAAGCTTGCAACGATTCAGCGCAGCGCTGCCCGAAATGCAACCGATGCAATTAGCGAATTAATGCATTATTTATTTTATAATTCGAAGATCAGACTTGTCGTGGCATTGATACAAATTTGTATTCTCTCCATTAAATAAATTTTATACTTAAAAAGGCCTTTTCGGTCGCCCGAACATAATTGGCGCAGTCGGTAGGATCGCGAGATCTCGGTATGCCTCGGAAGGCCTTCGATTCCGTCTAGACCCTGGGCTGTCTTGGAATCCTTACAGCGATGCCAAGTAGACTTTCGTTATATCGAAGTGATGAGATGCCTGTATGACGCCGCTACCATGAGTGTCCAAGTACAGGGCCAGCAATCTAAGCCCATCCCATTACACAGAGGAGTTAGATAGGAGGATGTCATGTCCCCGAAACTGTTTACAGCCGCATTGGAAGACATGTTTAAGATGCTGGACTAGAAAAGGATGGGCATAAAGATAAACCTTGGGCCGATTTTGCGATTGGGTAGAAACAACTTCGAAAGAAAAGCCAAGAGGAGGATTCAGCTTGGCAGGTCAGTATTTAGTATACTAAGTCGAGTCTTCTCGTCACCCGTACCGCAAAGTTTGAAAACATAGGTTTTTAATCAGTACGTTCTAACTATTATGACATACGGAGCCGAGACGTGGACACTCACGATACGGTTAGTTCACCAGTTGAAAGTTGCGCAGCGAGCTATGGATCGAGCTATGCTCGGAGTTTCTTTGAAGAACAAGGTACTGAACGAGGTTATCCGACAAAGAACTAAGGTCGTCGACATAGCTGGTAGAATAAGCAAGCTGAAGTGGCAGTGGGAGGGCCGTATCTGTCGAAGAACCGATAACCGCTGGGGGAAGCGGATTCTTGAGTGGAGACCACGGCTCCGAAAACGAAGGGTCGTATTCTAGTACTCTACTCAAAGCTCAAGTCAGGATTTGAGTATGGTTTAAAGCACTCGAAATCATACTCAAGTCCCTGCCATTAGGGTCGTATTTCCAGTGCTTGTGTTGCCAGTGCAATCCTGACTTGAGCATTGAATAGAGTTCTAGAATACGATCCATAGTGTAGGACGCCCTGTGGCCAGATGGAGTGACGATTTGCGAAGGGCTGCTGGCAGTAGATGGATGCAACGAACTGAGTACCGGGCAAAATGGCGCGCATTGGGAGAGACCTATGTCCAGCTGTGGACTACGATAGGCTGTTGATGACTACTGCGGTACCCTCTTTCCAAAAAAATAATCATCCAAATTGGTTCACAAATGCCATACTGCCAAATTTATTTTTTATTTTTTTTAGTTATCGCGTAAAATACATACAAAAAAACATACAGACGAATTGAGAACCTCCTCCTTGTTTGAAGTCGGTTAAAATACAATTTTTTTTTTTTTTTTTCCTCAATCTACTGTTTTTTCGGTGCAATATCAGACTTTTTCCCGATTTTTTTCCAGATTTGACCTGGCAACACTGTTTTAATAACGTTACATTCGGATTTTGGATTCGCTTTGGGCATTTTGGAGGGAAAAGTGTCGTTTTTGTTTTGACTTTCAATTATTTTGTGAAATCTAGTTTAAAGTGGAATAGGATAGTGCTATTGTGCCTTAATCGAAGATTAAAACGCGAAATTATACGAATCTCGAACTAAAATACCCGTATCGGCCCGTTCGAAGGAATCCCGAGTCAATCCAAGCACGCCGCCTCAAATTGCCTAACCTCTTTGTGGTGGCCATATTTACAGAAATATAATTAAATGTTTATGTTTTCGGCTGAAGGCTTTGTTTCCATGGCCAGCAATAATTAAAAAAAAACGTTACATTTTCGAGAATGGAATGTGTCCCTTCCTATACATTAGAAAAAGATAGAGATATTATTTTTCTCATAAACGAAGTCGCGTGGAACTTTAAAAAAAAGCATTTTTTGACAGTTTGAAATTGAATGAAAATCGTTTGTTGTTGAATTTTGTGAATTTTTTGCGATGTCTCTTAGAAAAGTATTGTTTCTTACAAAAGCGATATGCCGTAGAGCGACTAAGCTACAAAACTTAAATTTTTCTAGACAGAAGATATGGTTCCTCACTGCTAATTCTGCAAGATTTTATTCTGCGGAAAATATAGGTTAGGTATCCGACTTATTATTTATAGTTGAAAATTTTCAGAAATTTTGGAATGAAATTTTAGTTTCAATAGCTTCTTACGTAACCTATTTAATCAACGCGGAGATTTTTTCATTTCATAGTCTACTTGAGGTTACTTTTATGTCAGCATGATTTCAACTTATATTTTATTCTGCACATTCTTTCCTATAAGTTGCGTCTTTAAAATATTGTTTCACAACTTTTACAGGAAAGGATGGTAAAGTTCCAGATGGCAAACGTGTTGATGCTCCATGTGACTCTGTTCCGGATGTCAAATCACAGGAGAAAACAGATATCTTAGGACGATTCTTTCCTCAAGCACAGTTGAATGCTCAAGATGCTAATGAAATTAAAAAGGAACAGGAACGGTTTGAGAAGGAAAAAAAAGAGAAGTCAGAAGAAAATGAAAAAAGTTGGAAAAGGATGAAAATTGGGTGAGATAAAACTTTGCATAAACTATATGTTACTTACAATTGAATAGTTTGGTGAACGTTAATTATAAAAATCATTTGGAATATTTTGATGAATAATCTGGAAGGATTTGACTTGTAAAACAATGCATCCCTTCCACACTGTGTAATGTCATGGACCAATAACCCAAGAGGACTGCTAATCTCCATATTAAAAATCGTAGCTCTGAAAAAGGTCAAAATTCCGTCTTATTTCTAGATGGCGCTGATCGATAGCCTGGAATTAGTTTATATTTACGTAAATAGCCATGGATATCGATTAACTCCTCTTTTATAGGAAATATAGTAGATATTCTATTTTTCTTGTAATGTTTTTCAAATATTTAGTAATAAACTAAAATTATTCTCTGAACTTCGATATTTATGCGTATCAATAGATGGCATTGTTCGTTGTTAACTAATTAATAACGTAACGCTTGCGAATATAGTTAGATGGCGCAAATCGTAAACAAAATAAAAGAATACTTGGAAGTATCTATAAAAATCTGGGCAATATAGTATAACCTAAAGGAAGTCTAAATTGTCATCCGTTTGCGGTGGCGCACAGTGGGCCCAAATTGATAATTCTTGGACATAGGAATAACTTGTGGAGTATCGAGCTAATTTTTTTATGTGGTAGACAATAACACTCTTAACAACTTTTATTCTTGTATGATTTCTTGAAAAGTTGATAGTTTCAGAGAAAAAAAATATAATTTTTTTTTGTGGAGAAATATACATTTTGTTCTTTATCTCAAAATATACGAAAATGTAGTGTGCGTGGGTTACTTACAGTATAGTTCCAATCATTTTCTATGTAGAAAAAAATAATCCGTCTGCATGTACTTGCGGCTTTGTAAGTAGAGGTGCGGCAAAATTGCTAACTCTTTTATGTACTTTTTTAACAAAATACATGAGCTTCGACTAAAGAAAATTTAATTTTAGTGCTAAATTACACAGAGCGTTATAACAATAACACGAAAGTTAAGTAGAAACTAGTATATTGTGTTTTATTTTTTAATAAATAACAAATCTAACATTTTGACATCTTTTTACTCGTAAAGCCGCAAGTACCTGCTGATGGATTGTTTTTTCTTGATAGAGAATGATTGGACTTATACTGTAAATAAAGCACACATTACATTTTTCTACAATTCGAGATAAAAAAATAAAATGTTTATTTCTCCAAACAAAAAAAAAAAACTAAAATTTTTTTCTGAAACAATCAGCTTTCCAAGAAATTACATAACAATAAAAGTTATCAGGAATGTTATTATGTATCATGTGAAAAAAATCAGCTCTGTATTCCTAAAATTGTATCATGATTAAATAATTATTTAGCCTAAAATTTATACTTTTTATTTCCGTTATTTTTAATTACCTTCAGATTAATTTATACTGGGTTGTTGGACTTTATGCACTGTTTGTAATGGATGACATATTACACACAGATTACACGAAGCTCATGTATTTTGTTAAAAAAGTACATAAAAGAGTTAGCAATTTTGCCGCACCTTT